TRSCAACCCAGTAATAAAGATTTGTTTTCCATAGGAAATCTCCAGAARTTGTCACTAGAGAGACAACTAATATATATGCGACATCAGATTGCAGTCCTGAGGAGATGGCAGTTCAAATGCAACATGCAAAGAACCAAGAAGCGGCTGATCCTTTAGTGGACAGTTTTGATGGCATGTCTGACATGTCTAGCGACAGTGATAATGCACAGCCCACCAATGAGGATACCAATGAGGGTCATGAGGTGTGTATATTATCAGACTGGCTTAGGTTTCTGTGTAAAGAGCATTTAAATATGCCGCTTTTGTTGTGTTATTAGGAACCAAAGAAGCAATCCCAACCCGCTCTAACAAAACCAAAACCATCAAAGAAGAGGTAATCTTTGTCCTAAACATTTACATAAGTCACCTTATTTTTACTGGGAAATAACTGTCACATGTTGTCATGTTTTGCTGTGAATCAGTGATGCACTGATCCGTATGTCTGGTTTTGGATAAAAGCTTCTAGTTCGAGTTGCATGTAAATCATGATTATCTAAGATAATATACCCTGCTCAAGACATATCACCTCCAGCGCCATCTCCCCGTATAGTATAGTACGCATATGTGTTTTATTTAAGCTAAATGTTGCTCTTATCTTGCTTTTGCCGGCTTTTAATATTTATTCAGGAAGTCGGGAAAAAAGACAAAACTAGATSAGCTTATGGAACAGGCAACAAAGATGATGGACGAAGCAGGGAAAGCGTCGAGGACACACAGAAAATACCTAAAGAATATGGCTGCTGACAAAGGTTTTGACATCAGTAGTGACAGTGGCTAGTGTAACACTGAAACACTATTTATCTTGATACCAGTTTCTATTTGTTCATTGCATTTAATTGAATTTAATTAATTATCCGTATTGAAATATACTAATTAGATATTGAAATAAAAATTGCCAAGAAAAACTGCTTATTTCATTATTCAGTAGTGGACTCGATAATTTTCATGCAAATTACCCTATCAAGCAAATATTCATAGAAAACAAAGCATTTAGCACATCTATTTACTACCAAATAATTTTTACGGGCTTTAGTGATGCAAGCACTGTATGATTAAACGTTTGAGTTCGTTGAACTAACATAAGTTACAAGCTTTAAAGGCAGGGATTGATGTGAATTTAATTTCACATATTTCCTCACCTTAACTTTAGTTCTTGTAGGTGAAAAATTCATCTGGGCTTTCATGCTTTCGTCTTTATTCAAAGTACGTTCGTTTGGCTCCTCCTCTTCATGAATGATTTGCTCGAAGTTAATAGACTTTCTTGCACGGGAACGCGGCTGTGTGGGAATATCTTCTCCATTAAATGTCTCCATTTACTTTAGCACGCTTCACCAATGGAGAAATTCCACTGGGAGATCCTGCCACAATTCTTTTTGCTGATCTATCAGGAGACGTAGCAATCTGATGGTTTTCGTATTTTGTTTCGTATTTTGTCAAAGTGTTTAAAGTATACAGACAACGGACAGCCTGCCTTGCACAAGACATACAAGACAAATCAGAAACATTGTCTTGTATTAGTAATATATTCCCTACTGAAGACATTATCACGTCGCAGTATGATTAAGTTATGGGGCGAGATCCGCTCCTTGTCCACGACAATACGAGACGGTATATAGCCAAACTCCAGTCGTAATAGTGCATAATAACTAATCCAATAGTAATATGCCAACCTTTATTGTTACCATCCTCAACCCCATATGCCCAATACTCAAAAACCCACATCCAATACTCAAAACCCACATCCAATACTCAAAACCCACATCCAATACTCAAAACCCACATCCAATACTCAAAACCCACATCCAA